GGCCGCTGCCCCCGGCGCCCGCCTCCGCTGCTCGGCGCCAGGCAGGTTCCCCGGGGGCCGGGCACAGGGCTGGAGCAGCCGCACAAGGATGAGGGGAGGCCCCCGCTGTGCCCCAAAGCGGCCCGTGGCCAGAGGCGACGCTCGTGTGGTCAGTCCTCAGGTGCGGATGGAGGAAGGACCTCAGCATCCTCCTGAGGAGGTGGCAGGGCAAGGGAAGGGTGACAGCAAGCAGTGACGTGAGTGTAACGAGTGCATCTAAAGGGGAAACGACCCCTTAGCAGCAAACAGCAAAACCCCTACATACTGCAAACACGGGAATGAAACTGAGCCCAGTCCTTCCCAAGGGGCTCCCACCCAGCACGAGCAGCATCCGCTCCGGGCGAATGCAGACGTGCGGGAAGTGTGGCGAGCCTGTTTTCTGGTGTCAGAAAACCTCTTGGGAACAAAGCACCAGAGTGATTTCATGATGCATACACGTTAGATGAGGGGTAGGCAACCCTTGGCACAGGTGCCAGATTGTGACATGTGAAGGATTTTGCTTGGCGCACGCACCTTGGGGAAGGGGCAGGGGCTGTGCTGCCACAAGGATTGGGTCCTTTGCAGCTCCCCCCGCCACCTGCCCCTGGCATGCCAGCCTGTGGGTGTTTTTGGCACTCTGCCCAAAAATGTTGCCTACCCCGGATATCTTGATATCTAGTCACCAGGATCTAACCTGTGCTTTCAATGGGGAAAGAAAGATTTAATAAGATCATACAAAAACATGGGAGTTGGAAAGATCAGTAATTCATAGTATGACGTGGGAATGCATTCTTTTAAATCATGAAGGTCACCTAAAAATTGTGAATATTTTTTATAGCATCCAACTAGATGAAAAATAAAATCCTTCAGCCTTAGCCAAAGCTCCCCTTGACATCACCAATAACTAATTTGAAATAACTTAATATTTTTCATAGAATCATAGAAAATTAGGGTTGGAAGAAACCTCAGGAGGTCATCTAGTCCAACCCTCTGCTCAAAGCAGGACTACCCCAACTAGATTATCCCAGCCAAGGCTTTGTCTACTCAGATCTTAAAAACCTCCAAAGATGGGGATTCTGCAACCTCTCTGGGTAACCTGTTCCAGTGTTTTACTACCCTCCCAGTGAGAAAATTCTTCCTAATATCTAACCTAAACTTCCTAATATCTAACCTAACTTCTCTTGCTTCACCTTGAGGCTGTTGTTCCTTGTTCTGTCATCTGCCACCACTGGGAACAGTCTAGCTCCAGCCTCTTTTGAACCCCCCTTCAGGTAGCTGAAGACTGCTATTTAATCCCCTCTCAATCTCCTCTTCTCTAGATTAAATAAGCCCAGTTCCCTCAGACTCTCCTCGTAAGTCATGTGCCTCAGCCCATTTTTGTTGCTCTCTACTGGACTGTCTCCAATTTGTCCAGAACCTTTCTGTAGTGGGGGGCCCAAAACTGAACACAAGACTCCAAATGTGGCCTCACCAGTGCTGAATAGAGAGGAATAATCACTTCCCTTGACCTGCTGGCAACACTCCTACCAATGTAGCCCAGTATGCCCTTAGCCTTCTTGGCAACAAGGGCACACTGCTGGCTCTATTCAGCTTATTGCCCACTGTAACCCCCAAGTCCTTTTCTGAAGACCTGCTGCCCAGCCCGTCAGCCCCCCTGTACTGATGTATGGGATTGCTCTGTCCAAAATTCTCATTATTTAATCCCATGAGATTTCTTTTGGTCCAATCCTCCAATTTTTCAAGGTCTCTCTCAGTCCTAGCCCTACACTCTAATGGATCTATGTCTCTCTGCAGGTTAGTGTCATCTGCAAACTTGCTGAGGGTGCACTCCATTGCATCTTCCAGGTCTTTGATGAAGATATTGAACAAAGCCTGCCCCAGGACTGACCCCTGGGGCCATGGCTGACTGGTGCCACTTTAGTCAGGAGGGGAACATGCCCCCAAAGCGACCAGTCAGCTACCGGGGGGGATCCCCCACAGCCAAACTCGCTGACCGGGGGGGCAAGGTTCCCTCCCACAGCCAATTGCACCAACCAGGGAACAGTCATGGTGCTCCCACTCCCCAGTCAGCACTTGCAGGGGGGACACCGGTGCTCCCACCTGCCCCCCTGCCCATCACCTAACTGGGGAGCGCTGTCTGTCAGGGGGTGTTACCAGTGCTCTCAGGGCACCCCTGTGCACCCCTTATGCATTACCACTGCTTGGGGCACTCCACTTCATACCAGCTGCCAACTAGACATTGAGCCATTGATTATTACCCTCTGAGCCCAGGGCTCCAGCCAGTTTTCTACCCCCCTTACAGTCCATTCATTCCTTAGCTTGCCAGCAAGAGCCTTGCTAAAATCAAGGTAAACCACATCCACTGGTCTCCCCACATCCACAGAGCCATTCATCTCATCATAGAAGGCCATCAGGTTGGTCAGGCATGACTTGTCCTTGGTGAATCCATGCTGACTCTTCCTAATCACCTTCTATTCTTCGAAGTGCTTAGAAATGGATTCCTTGAGGATCTGCTGTGTGATTTTTCCAGGGACTTAGGTGAGGCTGACTGGTCTGTAGTTCCCTGGATCCTCCTTTTCCCCTTTCTTCAAGATGGGCACTATGTCTGCCCTTTTCCAAACATCCAGGACTTCCCTGATGAGGAAGATAATGGCCATCTTCAAAGATAATGGCCATCAGCTCTGCAATCACATCAGCCAACTCCCTCAGCACCCACCGATGCATCTAACCCAGCCCCATGGACTTGCATATCTCCAGCTTTTCTAAATAGTCCCTACACTGTTATTTTGCCATTGTTGGCTGCTCACCTCCTCCCCAAACTTTCCTGCTTGATGCAGTAGTCTTGGAGCTGACCTTGCCTGTGAGGACTGAGGTGAAAAAGGCAGTGAGTACATCAGTCTTTTCTGCATCCTCTGGCACTAGGTTGCCTCCCTCATTCATCAGTCATAAAGACCTGTAAAACTATTTAATACCATCTGAACCATATTCGCTGCTTTTTCCTGGGGTACTTCTGTGTGACTGACATGATATTATGTTCTTTCACTTCATGGAGTTTGGAGAAGCATCTTCAGGAGTGGCAGAATCTTCATTGCTGGCTGGATTCTTATGAGAATGAGAATTGTACTTAGCAGGCAGGATCTCCCATGCATTTATTTAAAAATCACATTTTTAGACTTGAGCATCTGGCCTTCTTGCAAGAGAGTGAGGACTTCCTATTTATAGACTGGCCTGTCATTGTTTTATAACAAAAAGTATAATAACAGAACGAGGATTCTGGGTTGAATCTTTTCACCCCAGCCGGTTACAGTGGTTTTTATAACATAATCACTATTAATATAACTGTACAATTCTCTATCAGTCATTTCAATTCCTTTGCCAGGAACTTTCAATATTACTAGATATCTGCTTTTGGGTGATCTTGTCCTTCCCACCCTATAATCCATGCTTAAAGCCCCAATACATGACTTCCAGGGAAAATACAGTCCAAGTTCAGAAGCCTTATATTATTATATTATTAGCATATTATTATACAGTGTTGTATAACACTGAAGAGACTCAGGACAGGACCATCATGACTACACAGATATTCCAACCCTATTATTATTAAACAGCACTGACACATTACCAAAGACTGTGGTAGGTGCCTCACAGGCAGATTAAAAAACACTAAATTACTATATTTATACAGTAATATATTGCCTTATATCTCATATAATAATAAAAAAATACAAGCATTTATTGAAGAAGCAAACTGAAGACAAGAAAAACCAAGAGTATAAATTACAGAAACCAGTGTAAGCAAATACAAAAAACGATGAATAAACACACATAGACATTAAAAATAATATTTAATATAAGAAGAATAAAACTAAAATCTTTTTCTTTCTCCTTTAAGATCTCAGAGGCCTCTAACAAGTAGCTCAGATTTCTAACTATCTCATCTTGAAATTCCTGGCTAAGAAACCAGAAATGTCTCATAAAAAACGAGCGGTGGCACCATTAAAACCGGTTTTACGGTGAGCTTAAAGAAGCCTGGAAATCCTGATCCAATGATCTAGGTGTCAAGACAAGTTAATGCATGCAGTAAGTAAAATTCTACATTCATCATCATATTTCAGATACATGATGAGTATTTCCCAACTACAGAATATGACTCTTGGCTAAAACTACCTGATACAAAATGAATCAGTGATGTCAAAATGGCTCTATAACCCATTCATACTGCAGTATGCTGGCCATGAGAACAAAAGATCCTGTAACTTTCCAAATGTTTTATCCATCTGTGTGTGTTCCTACCATTTTGTAAGGTGAGTAAAGAGCGATGTGCTAGCACTCTAACAGGGTCCTTATGTAAGATGTGAAGACAACCCACTGCTTCACAAGTCTTCTTGGAGGGAGAAAGAAAGGATACCCTGAGATAGTGTACACTGTCCTAACTCCATTGAAGACAACAGAGTTGTGACATTATACCTCAGCCAAGCAACTGCCCTAAGATATTATTTATTTTCAAGCTTCCTTCTTTAGGGGAGTGAAAGAATCCCACTGTACCCATCTGAGAATTTACCATGCTGCAAAGGGGAAAAGAGAGAAGCTGTCATTAGGCAGGGGGAGCTATGAGAAGTAAAAAGTAAACATATATCTGTTTTGCAGGATTATGTATAAAGAAATTCTGTGCTCTCTGCACACCATTCATACATATTCCGAGACAGAATATGATCAGTAAAGAGGGGCTTGCTGCAGGGAGGGAGCCCAAGAACCAGTGCACTGACCAGGTGTTGGAGCATAGGGGAACAGAACATTTTGCAAACAGTGTAAGACTGAAGAAGTGAAAAATCTTATTTCTTTAGCAACACTTAGAAAACCTGTAATGTATGAAACAGAATTATGATTACAGATTTATTTCTTTATCACATTTTGGGAAGTAGGGTGTTGGGAAATGTAATAGGTTAGTATAAACCTGACACTCCTCCCCCTCTCCCTTTCATAGATAATGATCTTGATGGGAAGAGGTAGGTGAAGTTTTGATGACTCATTTCTGCTAGTTTTTTGTTAGCCTCACAGAGAAAGACTGCTAAGCAATTTAGGGAGGTGAGTCAGTAACAACACCATAGAAGAGACAAGCCTCCTTTTTGTCCCCTCCTTCAACATGGATCTATCAAGTTTGGCTTCCCCCTCTCTGAGCCCTCCTGTCCAATTTAAATTACTAGCAGGATAGCCTGATCTTTTTTTTTTTTTTTTTTAAGAAGTTGATACCTCTTTTCCCAAAAGAAATACTGAGATAGAATCAGAGAAACCGACTTTAAAAAGATCAGTTAAATATTTTGTGCACATTTTCCACAGCTAAGCGTCAGCTAAATCTATGACTAGGAAGCGAAAATGGAGACTTTGCTTGATCAGATACTATTGCCAAAATAAAACAATAAACAAAGAAATGCTTTAGGGGCTCTGATTTCTTAAAATGGGAATCAAAAGAGCTGTTATATTCTTTAATTTAGATAAGGTATTGAATCCTGACAAACATTCAGCAGAGTTTACACAATATTTAAAGAAGCCTTTTTTTCCCTATACACCCATCCACTTCACCTCTTATTTTTAAGGCCTTTAATTGCATGGTACTACTTCCTAACCTTCCTTTAATTTTCTTTTAATGTTTTCTGCCTCAAAGTCTTTTCAGTGTAGTTTTTAGTGAATGTGTCTTTTGTGTGTGCATAACAGAGGAACAGCAGCACTTTTGTTTGGGTAACTTGTTGCATTTAGCTTTAGTTGCACCTGCTTGAGTGGTGAATTATAGTATTATTTGAACTTTTCTTTTGCTTGTATCTGCATAGTCAGCCTTAGCCTTGAGTTTGCTCTCACATTGTTTCTTTCCTTTCTGAAAGGCAGCTTATGTTTTAAAATTATCAACATACACATGTACAGTGTAAGCCTTGTTACTAGCTCAAATTAACTGAATTTGGCACTGACTGACTAAATCAGAGGGATGCCATAACTGGATATGATAATGAAAGGTGATAAGAGGGGACCAACTGGACAGTGCCCAATTGCAGAGCCCTTGGAATTTCCAGAGCTGATGGGCAGATCAAATTAGGAGTCCAGGGCATGCCCAAATTAGGACACCAGTAAAAGAATAAATTAAGATGTGTGCATGTGAAGGGTTTGGTAGAACAAAGGCATATGCTGACAGGATAAAAACATGAACAGTAAGATGATCACAGGGAACCCAATCAGTGGTACCTGGAAATTAAGAGTCATCAGAGGAGTAAAGTTAAAGAAAAGCATAAAAGACACGGGGGGGGGTGGGGGGTGGATTTGGTAAGACCATTAGACTAAGTGTCTTTTTCTCTGTCTCTATTAAGATAACATTTAATGTATTAATAATAGTTAGATTTTAGTTAAGTTGAACTGTATGAGGCATATTTCCCATTAAACTCTGGCTTTATTATGCTTTGGCAATCCTTTAGCACCATGGGTGTGTAACACTTTCATTTTATTATTACTACTAACCGTATAATCTATATTCTACTGTATAGTCAGTGCCAAATCCTGCTCAATTTACATTAGCAATCTCAGAGATTTCATCAAGACTGCTCATGTAGGAAAGTATGCTGAGTTTGAGCCTATATTTAATCACATAAAAAGTATTCAGTCACCTTTATTTTCATTTACTGCAACAATTTCCTCCTATTGGAAAATCAGGTCTATTTATTTTAAAGATCAAGTGTTCAGTGTATCACCATCTGAGAAAATAACATGTTGAATTGTCTCAGAAATGACTCCAATGACATTAGAGATACGATGGGTAACATATAAGGAAATACATTCTCTATATCAATGGGAAGTTATGTTTTGAGATTTTCAATTCAGAATTCAGGTGGTTCAAACCTATGGTTCCTAAAAGCACCAAATGTACCTTTGCAAGTACCTTTGGACATATGATGCAGGTTCTGTTCATGGTTCAATGGCTATGACTATTGTTAGGGTGACAATATTTGGACTTTGAGGAACACTGGATTTTCAGCTGAAACAAGGCTTTATTCTGTGCGTCAGCAAAAGCTGCTGACCACAAGGCAGAAAGATGTATTAAAATAAGCTTGCAAGTAAGTTTCTTAACAAAGGGATAGTATGCAGGATGAATAAATCATTGGGTAAAAGGAAACAGCATGCAGACCAACAGCTATCATTAGGAGATAAAGTAGAGGCAAGACCTTGGAGAGGCTGCTGAAGTCAGCAAGAAACCAGAAAGAACCAGTAAGTGACCGAGAGAAGCCAAGTTTATGGCCTTACGCAGGTGCTTTTAGCAGAGAGGCATGTAACTGGAGAAAATACATAGGCAATTCCATGCTAAAGAAGCAAACAGTAAACAGAGGCAGAGCTTGAGATGGGAGGAGAAATGGGTGGAATAAAGGAGAAGCAAGGGTGGAATAAATGGTAATAAGCATGAACCTAAGTGTTTAAAATGTGGGAAAACTACTGTTCAGGGCGGCTCCCCGGTTTGTGGTTTTTTGGGAACTAGTCCGAAGCTGTCTCCATTCTGAATAAAGCTGTTGCAAGCAATGTATGCAAGTGTTTGCTCCCTGCTTGCTCTGGCTAATGAGTAACAGGATCCATGAGCAATTGGATCGTCATCTCCCTAGTCATTGGGCACCGCATGGAGTCGGGATCTAACAAATATAACAACAAGTAAAGAAAAACAAAGCAATTTGAGATTTTCATTGGTTTAAAAGAAGGCAGGGTTTATCCTCCATTGTATTTGGTACTTCAGTATATGGAATTATATATTTTTTTCCTTTTAGGTTTTTTGCATCATCCTTCCAAGAAACTCTCCCTGATATGGCATGCTAAAACTAGGCCTTAAATGCATATAGCCTTGTATAGCTAGTATAGTCTTATATGAGTATAAGACCTATATTGAAGGACTACATGTGATGCAGGTGGTCCCTTTCAGTTGTATTCTAATATTTTAAAACCCCTAGTCTGTCTATCCATAACACTTCATTCACACTCTGATTGCCTGATGGAAACAACCAATCAGAGGGCGAATAGAGAGTTTGGACAGCGGCACAGTGGAGTGCGGTCCTGCTGGTGGGGACACAGGGGGTGGAGCTGGAGTGAGGCGAGGCAGCTGGCTTCGCCCCCTCGCCCTGCTCCCTGGAGGCGGCAGCAACAGAGAGGATGGAACGGGGGTGGGGGCAAGGCCAGCCTGCCCCCTTGCTTGGAGGTGGCCGCGTCGGCGTGGGGGGGAGGAGGGTCAGGACGTCGTGGTGGGGGGGTGAGGCAGCTCTGG